GGTGGGGTGGGGTGGGGGATGGTAGAACTCTTTATTCTAACCAGCTGCCTAGATGACACTAAGGCTCACTAGAGATAGACTCTCTGTCCCTCGCTCCTAGTTTCCTATTGTCATATCTTCCAGCAGATCTGCTAATTTAGATGGCACATTTCACTCCCTGCCAGATCCCTGATGCCCATCTCCGTGGTTATGCTTTGTGGCCAGAGCAGGGTGCCCCGCAACTAGTCCAGCCAGATGGGCCTGGGGTCCAAAACACCGATTTTCTTCTGTATGTGCGGGTTGCCCACACTTCCAAGTGCCACCAAGAGGTAAGGTTCAAGTCAAATCCCTTTTCCCTACTCTGCCTCTCCTAATCTTAAATGAGGGGCAAGGAGCAAAAAGCCGTTTTTATTAAATTGTGCTTATTTGGGGTAACTTTGAGCATACTTATAAAGTTTGGGTGGGGATTAAAAACGTTCTAAACCATCCCTTGGTACCACTGGACCTCCATTTTCAGGAAGATTTCTTCTGTTACCCCACTTCTCTCCTTCCTGCTCCTACATTGTCCTGACCCATCCACAGCCCTCTATCATTGCCTATGCTGCCTGCTGCCAACTGGACTCAGAAGACAGGCCCCTTGCTGGTACCATTGTCTACTGTGCCCAACATCTCACCAGCCCCAGCCTCAGCCATAGTGACATCGTCATGGTGACTGCTGCATAGTGACAGGTTGGGGGAGGTGGGACAGGTCACTCAGCTTCCCATGAAGTGGAGGAACCTGTTAAGGATGGAATAGAAGGTGCCTCAAGCTCTAAGAGGAAGTGATGGGGCAGAGAGGGGCTGGTTGATCCTGCTGCAAATCCAGTCCCCCTCACTCTGCTGTCATTTGCCCTTAGGCCACACTACACGAATTGCTCCATGTCCTGGGTTTCTCTGGACAGCTCTTCAGGAATTGGCGGGATTGCTTCTCAGGACCCAGCGGTAAATGAGAGGAATGAGGAAGAGGCCTTCGCACAATGTCAACCAGAAGGAATCACTACTATCTCATGAACTTCTTCCAATTCTACCTCACCCTTCCTAAGTTTTCCTCATATTGCCTTCTCCCCTTTCTTTACTCAGTTCGAGAAAACTGTTCTACAAGGCAACAGGTGACAAGGCGAGATGAGTGGGGACAGCTGCTTCTTACCACCCCAACTGTTAGTCACAGCCTGGCCAAACACTTGGGAGTGCCAGGGGTTTCACTGGGTGTCCCCTTGGAAGAAGAGGTGAGGGTAAGAACACCTTGGGGTGATGGAAAGAAGAGGGAGTAGCCAGGTGGCAACCAACTACCTCCTCCAGTAGGGCCCTTTGTCTTCACACTGGGAGGCCCGACTACTCCAAGGCTCTATAATGACCGCTATCTTCGATGGTGCCCAACGCACTCGACTAGACCCAATAACTCTTGCTGCCTTCAAAGACTCAGGCTGGTACCAAGTCAACCACAGTGCTGCAGAGGAGCTGTTGTGGGGCCAGGGTGAGAAATAAGGGAGAATTACACAGGGGCACACATGACCAAAGTCAGCTTGGGAGAAGTGAGAGCAGCTAGAAAGGATTATCTGCTGCTAAGATGTAATGGAGGCTGTAAGCATAGCTAGCACTGAGGGATGTTTGGGGCTTCATTTGTTCTGAGGGCTCTTTCTCTTCCTATCTCTCAAACAGGATCTGGCCTAGACTTTGGCCTGGTGACCACATGTAGGACTGGTTCCTCAGACTTCTTCTGTTCTGGCAGGTGTGTGTGCTAAGTGGTTGAGGGGCTGTGCAGCTGTCAGTAATCCTAGTGTCACTCTACCATCCCTCCCATACAGTGGACTGGGCTGCCACTACCTGCACCTGGACAAGGGAAGATGTTCTTCAGATCCTGTGCTGGAAGGCTGCCGCATGTACAAGCCCTTGGCCAACCGGGTGAGTAGACTAGAAAACAGTGAAACTGAATGGGCCTAGAGAGGAGTCAACCTCTAAGGCACTAAGACAAACACTATTCTGCCTTCTGCCCTGCCCTTCAGAGTGAATGCTGGAAGAAGGAAAATGGATTCCCACCTGGGGCAGAGAATCCCCATGGGGAGATCTACCATTCCCAGAGTCGTTGCTTCCTTGCCAACCTCACATCACAGCTGCTCCCTGGGGACAAGGCCAGGCATCCCTCTCAGATCCCACACCTGAAGGAAGCGGAGCTCACTGGCCACTGCTACTTACATCAATGCACAGAGAGGGGAGCCTACAAGGTGCAGGTGGAGGGATCCCCCTGGGTCTCATGCCCTCCAGGAAAGGCTATTCAGGTGGGTATCATAGGTGAAAAAGCTGTAGCACACTGGCAAAAAGAAGTTTGGAAATATCCGTACAGCGGTACTATCCAACCTGTTTTATGTTCATTTTTTACTAAGTACTCACTGAACCCATGACTCTGATCTAGACTGTACATTTTCCTTAGGAGGATTTAAGCAAGAAACTTAGGCCCTAACTATACCCTGCTACATGTTTCTTGTAGATACCTGGGTACTATGGTCTTCTCTTCTGTCCCCGGGGTCGGCTGTGTCAGACCAATGAAGGTACAGATGCTGTTACTTCCCCATCTATGAGTCTTTCAACCCAAGACCTGTTATTCAGGCTGTCTCTAGGAATAGCTGGGCCCCCAGGCCATTCCTTGGGGAAGGAAGAACGAGAAGAGTTGACTGAAGCAATCCTACAGGCTCTGGTGAGCAGAGGAGGTGCTGGCAGGTAAAGGGACAGTTCAGGCTGAGGATTTTTATGATGGGCCATGGAGAATGCTTACGTTCTTTACTTCACAACTGTCCTCTGGTGACTTTCAGTTCATCCCACTCCTAAGCCTGCACGTTTTATGAGATATAGTCTTCCAGGGACTGTATCTCCATTGAGAGATCCAAACGTCCCTTTAGGTGCTATTTCCACAGCCCCTCAATTACCGCTAGTCTGGTGTTCACTGTGCATCTGTGGAAGTCCCCTAGTTGCCAAGGGCCTTCGGTTGGTATGCTGCACAGGACCCTGACCCTGACTCTCCAGAAGAAGCCTCTAGAAGTGTATTATGGAGGAGCCAACTTTACCACAGAATACAGCAAGTAAGATATTATTCCAACTAGAATTTTTTTTTCAAATTCCTTGTCCAGATGTATGAAATTGCATTAATTAAGCCCCTACTCATGTGTATACATTAGTCTAGACCAGGTTATTTATTTCACAAAACAAGGATCCCTAACATAGTTACCTCAGGCCTATCATTATAGGACACCCCTCCCATCATGATAGTGGAGTTCCCCCATCTCTAAGACATAAGGATCCTAGCCCTCTTCCTTTCTTAAGCACTATCCATGTACCATGTCTAGCTACCTAAACACCAGTCTAGCCAACCCTTCCCTTAAGCCACTTCCCTCACTGCCAAGTCCCCTTCCAACAACCTAAGATGCTGAAGACTTGAATCTTGGTCTTATTCCTACTTTCAGGTTCTATGGCTACTCTTATTTCCTGTTTAGCTTACTGTTTGGATGAAGCAGGGTTTTATAAGCTGTATGTATTATAATAAAGGTGAAAGCCTTCACCTCCTAAGCCTACGCCTTATTCCAAGCCAAATATTACTTCTATGTTCCTAGGTTGCTGGTTACCTCAGGCCATAATCCCTCCATGACCCATTTAGGACTGTCCATAGGGCTCTGCTTGACGCTGCTTATCCTGCTGGGTACACTGGGAACTGTGGCCTATTAGAAATGAGCTACTCTTCAAGCGGGACCATCTGCACCTTACCATTCACCAGAGCTCCAAAGTATAACATGGGGCCCAGCTGGAGGATTAAGGGAGCTGTGATGTTACCAAGAAGATGATGGGGGCAGGACGGAGATTTCTTGAAAGACAACTGGATGGGAGGTTGATCTACTATCTATACTTAAGTTATACTTTTCTCAGAATGCCTCTTTTCATACTGGGTTTGCAATGAAAAAAACGGTAGAGAATTATGGTTCCAAAGATTCATTCTTTATTTTGACACAAAAAATAAACCCTTCAACCTCTAGCGAATGTCATTTTTTATCATATTGTTGTAGAACAAAATTACAGAATAAGAATACCTGCTAGCAGCTCCAAGGATATCACATATGCTTTCAAAAAACGTCATTGCTCTTTGAATTCAAATACACATCAGTGTGAAGGAGTAACTAATTATCTCCCTCTTCTGATTTTTCCGTAATTTTTACTAAATCACAGGAAAAGTGGTGGTTAGGATATCACATAATTATGCCAAAATCTGCTAAGTGAGGTGAAACCAGACATCTGAATCTGGCTAAATATAAAAACATGACCTTTTATTGCTCTTCTCTCCTGTTTCTGGAGGAGGGCTCTACTTTATATACCCATGGGCCAGCAGGAGGCTTGAGTTATTACATCTTTTGGTTATAGTTGCAAAAGAAGCCATTAAATTCTTGAGAGTTTGACATCTCCTGTAAAGAAGTCAGCTAGAGGCAGTCCGCTGATCTGGATTTGCTTAGATGGAAAACATTTACACTAGGAGTCCAGCTGATGTGCTATTAACACTGAAATAACCAGGCCTGTACTGGTCAGCAGGTTCAGTCAGCAAATCAGGATACTATCCCCACACCTTTAAGCAGCACATCTGAAGTTCTCACTGTAAAGTGGCTTCAGCTCCATCAACTATGGTTATCGTCTCTGATTTTAACGCCTATCAGTCTTTACCAGCTGTAGCAGCCACTGCTTGGTAAAACTTTGCCACAAAGTCTGGCTCACTGGCCTCCAGCTGCCTGACAAATTCATTGCGCTCCTCCTCAGCCCAACCTCGAAACCACTGATCCCAAAGACGTAGTTGGCACTCAAAGATACAAGGTGGTCGGTTGGCTCCAGACACACTAAGCTGCTCCAGACCTTCTAGCAATGGCTGTAATTTTCCTGGCACTGCTTTAGTTACCAGGTCCTGTAGGAAACGTTCACGCTGGGGACCTGACCAACTGGCAAACCAGTGAAGAATACACTTCATTTCCTGGGAAGTGATGTAAGACATTGGGGGAGGGGAAGAGTTAGTAAAATTGTCTGGCACTGAGGGTAAGGGGGAAGGGAAGGATAGCTGCATCGAAGATGATGATGATTCCAGTGGCATCCTGAAATATAAAAGCAGTTTACATACTCTTTAGATAGAGCAATCAAAATACAACTTCCCAACAAGGAATCTTAACTACACTCAATCAGCATCTATAAAGAAAATTACTTTTCACCAATTCAACTTACAGGAAAACCAGGTCCTTTATTTGGGTTATTATCCAACTACTTCAGAGAAGTCATCCCAAAATAACTTTGATATTTACCAACCTTCCCCTCTTTTGCAAACTTATTACCCTCCTCAATCATTATTTCCCTCCATCATTTTTTTTTTTAATATATATTTTTATTGATTTCAGAGAGAGGAAGGGAGCGGGAGAAACATCAATGATGAGTCATTGATCAGCTGCCTCCTGCATGCCCCCTGCTGGGAATCAAGCCCACAACCTGGGCACGTGCCCTTTTCAGGAATTGAAACTCGGTCTCCTGGATCCTAGGTCGATGCTCAACTGCTGAGCCACGCCAGCCAGGCTCCATCTTTCTTATATAAAGAATCTAAAAATAACACTTTTTCAAGTGACCAAAAATTTCTGATTAAGTTCTATTTCATGCATAAGCATGAGTTGCACTGTTTATTAGACTTTGGCAATTAAAAACAAACAAACAAAAAACCAAGCAGCCTTGTACAGAACAGTGAAAATGCTAAAAGTGAGAGTAGTTTATAGTTTTACTGTAGGATAAATATATATTTTTTCAAAAGACCTCTTTCCCTTTGGCCATATCAACTCTCAGTTCAGATCACTAAAATACAAATTTTCAAAATCACTTCTTCACTTCTCCAAGATCTTTAATGCTATCATTATCAACATCTGGCCATTTTTTCTGAATGACATCAATTATGTCATCTGTAAAGTCTCCTTGAATAATGATTTCATCCTCTCGATACTTAGACAGCACAGGAGAATTTAAAACATATATATATATATTTGGGCTTCTTTAAGACCAACTTCAAAAGTTGCAAGGCCACATACTCTTGTTACATATTTTTTCCTTGCTCTGCGAATTCTGGCTATCTTAACCTTTTGTGGCAGTCTTCTTTTTTTGTTTTGTTTGACCTCTTCCACCTCTCTTTTGTTTTTTCTTCTCTTCCTCTTCCCCTGCTGTTCCCTGACCCTCAATAATTCCAGCTTCTCCACTACATTTCTTGCTCATTTTCTCCTGTCTATTTCTATGTTCCAGGTTGAGTAAAGGAAAAAAAAAAAAAATGATTAATGTTGATCCGGCACATCTTCCATAAGTAAAAAAAAAACACCCATTTTTTAATCAAGTACATGCAGCTGTTCAGGGAGGACCTGGATACTAATCATTCCAGAGCCATCAATAGTGGAGGGAAATAAAACCATCATATATGTTTACACACACATATATATATGTAGCTTCTAAAATATGCCAAGAATTTGATAACATCCATTACTTTCTTATAGTTCCTGTAAAGCACCAAGAAAAATTAAAGAGCAGAATAAGTGATTCTGCTCAAGATAACAGTAAGAAAATAATGTAACAGTAAGAAAAACAAAAGAATATGTGTTTATGTAAGACTGAAAAGTCTAGTTGGTTTGGTGGCTTAGGGATCTAACAGTGTTACTACACTGCTATAGATGACAATCCATGCCTTTGAACAATTTTCTTTAATGTTTAATATAAAACCTATTGAATCATGACCAGGTGGATCAGTTGGCCGTAGCAGTTCAATTCCCAGATCAGGGCACACACCGGAGTTGCACGTTAAACCCTAGTCAAACACGTTAGGGAGGGAGCCAGTCAATGTTTCTTTCTCACATAGATGTTTCCCTCTCTCCCTTCCTCTCTCTAAAATCAATAAAAAAATATATAATACCTATTGATGCCCTGCCACTGATTTGCATCACTAATACAACTGGTTGAAGTTTTCAAGATCCATAATTTGAATCTCTAACAATGAAAACCTTAATGTACCACTGTATAGGAGCTATTTTACTGTATGTTTCTTCTACTGCAAATTGGATTATTTGCAGTGAGAAAGAAAGGAACCCCTAGGAAATTAACATCAGTTGAGTACCAAGAACAGTCCTGAGAGGTTGTCTTTTCCAGTGGCCTTAACAGGAAGCAATTCCTCCTAAAGTAACTTTATTCTCCATTTCGGGGAAAGGATGACCTTTTCCCCAGTTTTGCAACAGGGCTTCCACGGCAAATTCAAGTTTAATGATCATGAGTCCGAAGACATGGTGCTGCCGCTTGTCCACTCTGGAGGCCACCGAGCCTGGCATTTCGAGGTCTCAAAGAATAACGTAGCCTTAGATGGGAGTGGCGGGGTTTAATAGGATGGGAGGTGGCAACTGTTTCGGTAGAAGAGCGGGAGACTTGCCCTACGAGGGTGACCCGCAAACACCGAGTCTGACCCCGCCCAGGGAGGGAATTCTACCCCGCTTACCTCCCCTTTCCTGTCACAGGGCACCGAGAGACCATCACAAGGGTGCTTAAGCTCCAACTATCGCCACCGCTTCCATGTTTCCTGAAAACCCTAAGCAAGGCCAGCCAGGCAGCCCACGCACTTCCGGTCCCGGACTAGCTCCAAACACCCAAGCGCCTCAGCGCCTCAGCTTTAGGTCCGGAGAAACCCGAATAACCCCGATCATGGTTATGCCAGAGTCGAGGGCTTCCGAATAGATTCGATTCAAAGCCTCGGTTAAACGAAAATAACCGAGCTCCGAAAACAGAGCGAGGGAGGGGGAGCGTCGGGGACGATGGAGAGAACCGATTGGTGCCGATATGGAAACGGAAACACCCGAGCAGTTCCGGAGGAACCCGGAGAGATCTGAGTGGTAATCGAGGGGTTGACTACGGTAGTGGGCGGGGTCACATCGGTACGTTCGAAGGGCGTTGGCGGAAATTACCGAAGATGCCCGAAGCCGTCGGGACGGACCCGAGTACCTCACGCAAGATGGCGGAGCTGGAGGAGGTGACTCTGGACGGGAAGCCTCTTCAGGCGCTGCGGGTGACCGACCTGAAGGCCGCACTGGAGCAGCGAGGCCTAGCCAAGAGCGGGCAGAAGAGTGCCCTGGTCAAGCGGCTCAAAGGGGTGAGGAGACGGCCTTGCCGGGGTGTCGGAGGGGAGCGGACCCGGTAGAGACGAGTCTCTGCCGCGGCGCAGGCGCAGTGTCCGGGCTCGGCGCGAGCTCGCTCAGGCCGCCAGCGCAAGCCTCCGGAGCCGCGCGCACGGTGGTTGGCGAGGCTCGCACTGGAATAGAGATAGCGCCGGTTCCCGCCTTAACGGCAGCGGCGCGAGCCCAAAATGGGAGGGTGCGCGCTACTCTCCCGGAGTGTCTTAAGCTCCTTCCTCCTTCCCCCACCCGCTCCTTGTTTGTGTCTGTGGTTTCGGCGCATGCGCTGCAGAAGGAGTTAAATCCCACTACAACCACCGGCGTTGCTGGCCTGAGGGGGGCGAGTTGGGCTGGGTCGGAGTTAGGGGTATAGTTGAGCGGACGGGTGGATGGGCTTGGTATGCCGATACCAGCAATAAGATTAGAGTAGGGTGAAAATGTCTGCTTGATTAGATTAGGAGGGAGGTGAAGAGAATCCTTAATTGGAAGGGACATGATTAGAGAGGGGTGTATAATTTATAGGGCATCCACAAGCAACTTGGGCCGATTAGTTTGGTGACTATTGAGAGGTGAGGCAGGTTGGTATATGTTGGGGATTTTGAATCGGTTTGAGTAGATTAGGGTGGGATAGTCAGGTGGATGGATAGATTTCGTCTGAACGGAAGAAAGATGAGGATGTCTTGGGTTTAATTTGGGTTAATTAGGACATGTGGTGAGTAGTACAGATTAGGGCTGAGTTGGCCCAAGGGTTAAATTGGCAGACCGTTGCTTATACATAAGCTGACAATTTCGTGTGTGTGTGTGGATTGGGTGACACCACAGTTTACAGGGTCTGTGCTTATTTTGTTCTGTAGCCTCCTCTTTGAAATTTTTAAAATTTGATAAATCTAGGCACCACTCTTTTGGAAAGAATCTCAAGTAGATCTAGTCCTGTGTAACTGTTTGACCTAGTAATTCAATCAGCCCAAAGCCGGCAGCAGCCCCATGTTGGTTTCATGTATTTGAAGCTGATTTGAGTATTTGAAGTAATTTTACCTGCAGGGCCAGATTTAGAAGGAGTACTAGTCAGAAGTGCAGAAGATAATAGGGATTATAGTACTGGTTCTGTCACTGATTTTGTTACATAGCCAGGTCACTGATTGTCTCTTATGTGCCTGCATTTTACCTCTGTACATTTGGGAGCAGTAACCATGGCTACCTTTAAGGGTCTTCTGAAGATGAATGAGAACAGTATTAGTGAAGGGCTTTTAGGTCCCTGGAAAAGGAATACAGTTTAAGGGTGTATTGTTAGTTGTTGCATTTAATGAAGAGATTGAGGGAGGGGTGGGTTTTTTTTCCTCCCGTTTTCTGACTTTTTGCCCTTTTCTATACCAGGCTCTAATGCTAGAAAATTTACAGAAACACTCAACACCCCATGCTGCATTTCAGCCAAATTCCCAGGTAAGAAAGAAGGTTCATTAGATGGGGTAGGCTCTTTGGATGCACAGACACATGGAAGGACATGATGTATATTTGATGCTTAATTCCTTACCAATATTTCCTAAGTTTCCTGGGTGAGAAATATTCTCATACCAGGACAGTTTAATTCTAATAAAGAATTCAAGAACAGAATCAGAGGAGCTATTAGTTAATTTCAGATACTTGAAATGGTGTGTGCAGAAAGATGTGGCTCCAACTGATTAAGTGTAGTATAGGGATCTGAAGTCATTTATTTGCCATTGATTTGGGAAAAGTAGTGGTCTTTGAATGTAGACATAATGTAGGAAAATACTTGCTGAGGAAATGTGTTGACATAGATTTTCGAAGAATTCAATCTTTTCGACATTATCCACCATTAAAACTGTTACTATTAACCATGAAGATACTCCTGAACATTATTAGTTGTTCTGTTACTTATGGCAAGATACTTAACCTTTGGAGGTCTTGGTTTGCTCAACTTCCCTGTGTATAAGAGGTTGAACTAGATCTATAGTATTATAACTGCTCTGCTGGGGTTTTGTGGAACTACTTTTTGGGGGCTTCCTAGGGAAGGTACCGTCTTCCCAATTGAGCAGAGGTTCACACTCCCCTCTTAAACTAGGTTAGCTCTATTTTTATCAGGCTTGTATATTGAGTTTCTGTATAAGATTTCTTTAGAAAATCACTCCACAGTTTTTAAAAAATCCTAAAAGCTAAAATTTTTAGCACTATCTTAGACTGCATGATCTCTTAAGAATCTTCTAAGTTTTAAAATCCCCTCGTTGTAGTGTGTCATGCATTTAAAGGAAAAATCCAGATCTTTGTTAGGGCAGTGGTGTGCCCCTCCAGTACTAGATGAAGTCCCAAGATACTGTGGAAAAACGAGAGAGCCTTCCTGCTCCCTTGTTATCACCTCATTAAGCTGTATTATAATCTAGCCAGTTTACAGAGGTTTAGTTAAATACTTTAACAAGCATAAGAAACTGCGTAAGTTAATCAGTTTGTGATTGTATTCCTTTTGCATTTTAGTCTTTGAAGCTTTGCTTTTGTTAATGTAGGATTTTTGCAATACATGCATATATTCTCTAATACATGCAACTCATATTTCATCAATGTCCATTGAGTACCAAGAAACTCACCTGCACTTTAGGTGAAAGCAAACATTTACTATGCTTAGGAAAGATGACATAGAAAGTATTTAGATTTTTTCCTTTTTATGGAGTTCTAATAGCACTTGCCAGGCAAGAAGATTCTCAGGAGGAGGACTTATGGAGAGAAAACCGAAGGGCAGAAGAGTGATGTGTTGCAAAAAAAGTTGGGGGAAGATTAAGCGCCTGCATTTTAAGTATTGTTACCAAGGATTTCTTATCACCCAAAGAAAATGGAGTTAGAACTGTGTCTAAAAACTGAATGGACATACCTTTATTTAGTCTCCTTTCATAGTTTTTAAAGTACTGTACTTGAATTTTGGAGATGTTTGTCAAAATATTTCCTGGATAGGTAGAGATTGGTCAACTAGTATGACCTAGTATTTTTCCCTTTTATTTCTTGATATTACTAGAAGAAAAATTTAGATTGTTTTTAGGTAATATTTTCTATTATAAAATTTAGATTAAAAGACATAATTTTTTTTTTTTTTAATTCTCACCTGAGAAAATTTTTTCCATTGCTTTTCAGCGAGAATGGAAGAGAGAAAGAGAGAGAGAGGGAGAGAGGGAGAAACATCGACTTGAGAGAGACACATTGATTGATTGCCACCCACACGGGCCCCCACTGGCTAGGGCTAAAAGATAATTTTACAGGAATTTTTATTTCTTTTAAGTTACTTGTGCATGACTTTTTGGATAGGAACTGAATATTTAAAATAAAAATTATGGCTCTGGCTGGTTTGGCTCTGTGGTTAGAGCATCAGCCTGCAGACTGAAGGGTCCTGGGTTCAGATCCAGTAGATTCTAACCAACATACCTTGGTTGCATGCTCGATCCCCAGCTCCTAGTCAGGGCTCTTGCGGGAGGCAACTAATTGATGTGTCTCTGTCAGAGACACATCAATGTTTCTTTCTCTCTCTGTCTCTCCCCTCTTTCCTCTCTCTCTGAAAAGCAATGGAAAAAATATCCTCAAATGAGGATTTTAAAAAATAATAACAAATTAAATTTAAAAATTATGTGCAGTTCCTCACTTTGCCATCTTTTGTGGATCATAGTACTATTTATTTTGGTCCTCAACAAAAAGTACCTTAAAAAGGAGCCATCCAACATTTTAATCATCTTTCTTGAGTCCAGATATAAGGGGTAGACCTTTGCTCCATGGAATTTTCTTCCTTGCATTTTCCTAGTTTGCTTTCCTAGACTTTTTTTTCATGTCCTCTACACAGATTGGTGAGGAAATGAGCCAGAACAGTTTCATAAAGCAGTATCTGGAAAAGCAGCAGGAACTACTTAGGCAGCGTCTGGAACGTGAAGCTCGAGAAGCTGCAGAACTTGAAGGTAAGCCCAGACTGTCATGTCTTACAAGGAATTCTTCATTCTTGTAACCAAGTAGATGGGCCTGTTTAGGCAATTTCAGGAATAAGTCAGCCTGAGAGTAACAGTTTATTTGCTTTGGTAGTTCATGGAGCCAAGTGAGTTACTATTTACCTTTTGTCAGGGAAGAAGACAATTTGACTATCTTATTAGAAGAGGATCCCTGCCAACAGGAAGAGTTATAAGTAAATTAAGCCACCCTTTTAGATTAGGTACAGCTAGTCCTAGGGAGTTTTTCTCTATGTACAGCACTCTTTTTAGTATATACTCTGTACCCATGACTTTGCCTGACCTCCTTCACTCCTCTACATATTCCCACATGCTGAGCCCTTCACTCCCTCCCTGCCCCGACCCAATCTGTACTTTGCAGAAGCTTCAGCTGAGTCGGAGGACGAGATGATCCATCCTGAGGGAGTGGCTTCCCTGCTGCCTCCTGACTTTCAGAGCAGCCTGGAGAGACCAGAGCTGGAGCTCAGCAGACATTCGCCCAGTACGTATCTCCCTCCCCACTGCGCTATTTTGTCAGTCCTGCGTAGTTGGTGGGGGGAGGTAGTAACACCTCCTTTCATGCTAAGCCTCCGTTAAAGTCCCAGGGAAACACTGTGGCTTGATATTTGACATGTTTTTCATGGAAATTATGTCCTTTTTGAAGTCGCTTTCACCTCTGTTGTGTTAACCTCTCAGAGTGTTTTATAAGGTGATATGATTTGTACCTCTTTAACCTCTTCTACCTCTGAATTTAGCAACAGTCACAACTTTTACCTTTTCATCAATATTACATGTTGCACATCCAGTCATCCCCCCAGAGGGCATCTGCTGCATTTTATTAATTCATAATTGTTATTGAGTTCCTGTTTATGCCAAGTATGTGTTAGGTACCAGGAATATAGTAGAAAAAGAAAGTCTCTGCCCTAATGAAACTTACAGTCGAGCGAGAAGATGGACATTGACCAAATTCTTACATAATTAATTACAGTTGTGCTATGTGTGCCAGTACAGTGTGTTATGTGAGCTCTAACTCAGTGTGTTGACTAGATTCAGGCAAGATTAAATTTTTCACATTATTAAGCACTTAGTTTTGCATAGCATCTCAAGCAAAAGTCTGTAAATGCAACCTTTGTTGATTAGGAACTACCTATCTAAGACAGTATCCTTTTAGGAGAACATGTATATAAGATGTATGTACAGTAGATAGTTATATTAAACCAATGTGTAAATTAACAAGTATTTTGAGTCATTATTAATGTTATTTTGAATCATGATTAATCATTATTAATGATTAATAATGTCCTGGGGAAGGTGGTCATTTCATATTTAACATTTTTGGAATGTTTGGAAGTTTCTGGCTCTTCTGATTAATATAGAATTTCTTCCCAAAAATAGATTTTTAGGAGGTATTTAATGATTGGAGAGAAATAAATTTTTTTAGAGACTTTTCTCATATGTAAAAGTAGCAGACCCTCAGTTGATCAACTTTGCTCTTAGCACTCTTTTCCCCCTGATTGTAAAGCCAGGAGGCAAGAGAAAACTGTTATAAATTAGTTGTCAGTGTTTCTTAAATAAAAGTTACTCAAAATATTTATTGAATTCCTGCTATATGCATTATCTCCATATGTATATGGGGAGTTAGCACATTCATAAAATTTAGGGGGAGAGAAGACAGTTGCACATAAAACTAATACTAAAAGATAGTATGTTTTTAAGTGACATAAGTAGTACAGACACATGTACCATATGAATTTAAAAGAGTAAAAAACTTTCTGAGGACTAGTGTGATTAGAGAGAGCCTCATGAAGCTGTAGGATTTGAGCTGAGCCTTTAAAATGGGTAAGATTTGAATTGGCACAGAGGAGATTAGAGTATTCCTAGGAAGAAATAGAGGTATAGAGATAGGAATGAATATGTTCTCTCTAAAGGAGAGGTACCAAACTAATCTAGCCAGTGTAAAGTATTCTTTAATATTTAAGAATAGAGAAACAATTAAAAAGGTAGATTGAGATAATATTGCAGAAGGCTTTGAATATCAAGGCAATGTGTATGAGCTTTTTTATTCTAAAGGTAATGAGAGAACCATTGAAGATTCTTGATAGGAACATGATTTGATAAGGAATTTTTTTAAAGAAAGAACGTGTCTCAGTTTAAATGTAGTATAAAATGAAAATGAGGAATAGTTCATGACATAGAAATAAGGTTTCAAAAGCAAATAAAGATTTAGAATGAGGGTAGCCAGTCTCTTCAGTGCTTTATGCCATCAGCAGGACTCTGCCTATGGCTGTCATTAGTGGAAGAAAACAAAAACAAGCAAGTAAAAGGAAAAAGGTAAGAGAGAGGTGAAAAATAAATTAGATGAAAGTAGTAAATTAGTAGAGTACAGCTAACAGTTGCCAGATATGCTCTTCTGATCTTGGCTAGAAATCTTATAGATGTGGTACAGAATTTGGTTAGCGTCCTAAATGGATTGGTAGTTTGCATTTCTAGCTGTGCTTAATTGGATCAGTGGTAGTACCTGGAGTTTACCCAGAAATTAGATTCTTTTGGGGGTACAATGTCAGTCTACCATAAGCCAGAAACTATTGGGTTGCCCTCTTCTTTTCTTTTTTCTTTTCTTGTCTTTATTGATTTTAGAGAGAGGAAGGGAGAGAAACAGAAACATCAAATGATAAGAGAGTCATTGATCAGCGGCCTCTTTCACATCCCCTACTGGGGATGTAGCCCAAATCCTGGGCGTGTACCCTGACCGGGAATGGAACCATGATCTCCTGGGTCATGGGTCAACACTCAACCGCTGAGCCACGCTGGCTGGGCTCATCATTGATGTTTCTATTTCTCCCTTTCTCCATTCCTCTCTGAAATCAACTAAAAAAATTTAAAAAGATTTTGATTAAAGTAGGGTTCTTAGTAACATATTGTGCTACTCAGTAGTGGCACCTCAGGACTTTTTTTAGTTTACTGGGTTTTGTTTTGCTTTTAATTGATTTCAGAGAGAGGAAGAGAGAAATATCGATGTGAGAGAGAAACATCAGTTGCCTTCCGTATGCACCCCGACCAAACCTTCCATCTTTTGGTGTTCAGTATAATGCTCCAACTAACTGAGCCACACTGGCCAGCGCTAGTTTACTGTTTTTAAGAATATGGATTCCTGGACCTTACCCTGAGAATCTCTGAGAATGTGACTTGTGGGATTCTAAATTTTTTAAAGTCCTCTTGTAGTTCTTTTGATCATCTCAATGTATGAATGAATGAAAGAATAGTTTTTCAGTATTATATTTAATCAGGATCCTTGGCTTATATTCTGGCAACCTCCTGTTTATGTGCTATAGACAAAATTCCAAAGAGGAAGGATTTGGTTTATAAAGTCCTCCCTGGCTCTCCTTCTTGACTTCTTATCTCTCCACTTTCTTCAGAATTCCTAAGGTATTGGGAGTCAGTGTCCACCCTCCAGTAGTCAGAAGTTGTCTGGATTGCCTTTAAAGATCATGACTGGGTATACAAAAATCCTTATGTTAATTTCTTCAAAAAGAGCCTGATCTAGGAAAATTAGGAGGAAAAGTAAATACCAGAATATTAAAAAATGAATATTTTAGCCCTAGCCAGTTTGGCTTAGTGGTTAGAGCATCGGCCTGTGGACTGAAGGGTCCTGGGTTTGATTCTGGTCGGGGGCATGTACCTTGGTACAGGCTCCACCCATTGGGTGAGAGCATGAGGCAACCAATCAATGTGTCTCTCTCACATCAATGTTTCTCTCGCTCCCTGCCACTCTCTCTGAAAAGCATTGGAAAAAATATCCTCGGTGAGGGTTAAATAAAATAAAAGAATATTTAGAATACAGGTTTTTTAAACAGAGGGATAGCCCCAGAGGCTCTTAGCCAGCGTTTGGCTTACAGAGCATATGGTACTTACTCCTTTTTCTTATAGTAAATCTAGATGCTAAGATTCTGGAGAAATGCTAGATAATGTTACTTACACAGCTACCATGACTCAGATTTAGGTTTGGCGGCATTTCCAGGTCTCCATTTTCTTAATTCCTGCACTTTATTCAAACCCAAGGATATCCTTTGGCCACAGGCTTTGCTTTGATCTTTAGCTACCTTACTTGAGTCCTGCAAATCCTGCCCAGGGATTTGTTTTCTAGGATGAAGAAACTGGTTTCCAATATGACTCTTACATTCTTCACTTTAATACATTCTACACTCTCTGGCAGCCACCTTTTCCTTTCTCCTGAAGGCTTCTGGCTTTGGAGTCTTGGAGATCTTACATTTACCCTGACTTACTTTTCAATTCCTGAAATATATTTATTAACATGTTACCACTATTAGCTCCATTCTTTGCTAAAGATCCTCAGTTTCTACACATATTATTCACATCTGGCTTAGGACACTTACGTGGCCATGTACTCATAATAAAAGATGGCACCTTTCCCAGAAGGTTGTCTTCATCTTACCAGCTTTGTACTAAAAGCTAGAGATTCCTCATCTATTCCTTAGATTTTGCATTGCTTACTAAGCTCTTGTTTCATGTTGTCACATTCTTTGCAACACAATGACCAAAACTTTCTGAACAGCCCTGCTCATTTTAACCCTCATCCTTATTACTGAAGTGCTTACAGAAGAGTAATCACCTAGAATCCTGTCACTGCCATTTTGCAATATCAAAATAATACGATCTGCCTGGCCGGCATGTCTCAGTGGATGAGCATTCACCTATGATCCAGGAGATCGAGGTTTGGTTCCCGGTCAGGGCACATGCCCAGATTTTGGGCTCAGTCCCCAGTAGGGAGTGTGCAGGAGACAGCTGATCAGTGACTCTCGTTGATGTTTCTATCTCTCTCTCCCCCTCTCCTTTTCTCTCTCTAAAATCAGTAAAGATATATTTTTAAAAATAATAATAATAATATGATCCAATAGAATGGATGCTGCTTACAGTAAGCGGAGAAAGAAGCTATTTGCTTGTACATGCCTAACTTTAAAATCACAACTCTAAAACTCTTATTTGACCTGTTTAACACATTTATGTCTGGCTAACTTTGTACATGCCCCTCCCCCCCAAAATTATGTTTGGTTAATCAGAGCATATAGGTGCTTACTGAAAGCCTGTTATTTACCACAAAGCATCTTTCATGTGAATTTAAATATGTGCTTATAACTTGTTTTTAAAGTGAAAATAAAACAAAAAGAATGTTTCTTATATAGAACTTGCAGTGATAAAAGTACTTGGGGTGGCTAGGTCTATGAATTTTAGCTGTTTATAGTATTTGAGGAGTATCAGAGAACCTTTTGTAGGTTTTCCCTTCAGAGTTAAGGATTTTATCCTTAAAAAAAAAGTATTTTTTTTTTTTTTTAAATATATCTTTATTGATTTCAGAGAGAGGAAGGGAGAGAGCTAGAAACATCAGTGATGAGAGAGTCGTCATTGTTCGGCTGCCTCCTGCACGCCCCCAACTGGGGATCCAACCCGCAACCCGGGTGTGTGCCCTGACTGGGAATCAAACCGCGATCTCCTGGATCCTAGGTCGATGCTCAACTGCTGAGCCACACCTGGCCAGGCAATGTTTGTTTTCTTATTTTTAAAAGTAGCATGTGTTCATCCAAAAAAATTTGGAAAAAGTAGAAAAAAACAAGTTTTTAAATCATCAGTAGTTCCACAAACTAAAATAACAGTTGATACTGTGGTATATACATTTTCCAATTTTCTCTTGGTCTATGTATAAGCTTAAAATACCTGCAATAGGAAAATCTTGACCTTCCCTCCAACGTGGTTATCTTTTTTTTTTTTTTTTAACTCTTGAGCATCTGGGTAATGGTTTTTGTTTTTTAGAGCAATTTTAGGTTCACAGCAAAATCGAGAGGAAAGTTCCGAGCGTTTCCATATGCCCTTTGCCCCACATATGCATAGCTTGCCCCACTATCAGCATCCCCTCACCAGAGTGGTACATTTCTTAAAATTGATACACCTACATCAACACATCATAATCATCCAAAGTCCATAGTTTTCCTTTGGGTTCACTTTTGAAAATTCTCTGGGCTTGGACAAATGTTAATGACGTGTATCCATCATTACAGTATTATTACACAGAGTATTTTTGCTGCCCTAAAAGTTGTCTGTGCTCTACCTGAATAGGCAAATAAATTCTGTCCCACAGCCTCTGCCTTTTTTTCTTTTTTATAAAACAATAATAAATCTGCTTCTTTCTTTTATACTTACAAAGGAGTTTTGCCTAAAATTCATGGGAAATACTATCTTTTGGTTTTACTCATTTTATAATTTAACCTATTCCAGGTCATTGAATTATGACATTGCTATTGATTATTATAGCCACTACATTATTTATTGATTTCTTACAGATTATTCTTTAAATGTTTACTAAAGAATCTGGCCTGTCACTGTATGTCTTAACCATAAATCCTATACACACACCTATAATGCAAGTCTTTATTCATTAACCCAGATAAAAAGTTGTGTATTTGCAGAGATTCCATTAATAAGTTGATCATGAGGTTAAAGTTTTACAAAATATATGCAGTCTTCTAGTTCATTTTATAACTTTCTCCTTTTAATAACAGGAGCAAATACTAGTTCATTTTAGATTGTTGAAATATAGAAGTAAGAGAAGACCTTGGGTTGGAGCTTATACCACCTGCTTTATTTGCCACCAGTTTAAATACTATTAGTGTAGAACATACCTTTTGTACTGTATTAAAATTGAGCCCAATCTAGCTCAGTAAGTATCTGGATATAATGATCTTTAAGCTGTTTTCTAAACTGCTTTTCATCAGTATTTGCATTGATACTCTATATAATGTTTTAATACTAGTAGGAAATTTGGAAACCTTCCAGCCCATTCCCTCCTTTTTCTCAGTCAAGTCATTGAAACCAAATTAATTAAGTGATTTACCCACAGTTACCATCCTTCGTGAAATGTGAAAGTTTTTTCAATTTTACATGGGGCTATTATTTGGAGTGCCCTAGATTGGTAGTTTCCAAGCATTCTTTTAATAGAACTTTTCCTTTAAAAAAAAAATCTCACCTTGAGCGCCGTATATAAAACATAATTGAGAAGGGCTCATTTCTGAAGCCCTGTCCAGTTTGCCTCTAGTAATTTCTAAGAACTTTAGGGCCCTGAAAATCATTTGTCTAAGTACTTATTTCATGAGATTGTTATTTTACAAACTGGTATATTAATTGTAGTACTTTGGTCAAAACTAGTGGTAGCAATAGGCAAACCAAAAAAATAGACATTGAGCATAGTAAAATCTTGAGTTTTGATTCAGAGTGAGAAAACATTTTATAGAAATAAGTACACTTTGTATTTGCACATCTCTGCTAGACAGTTTGAAGCCCTTGATAGTTATTTTACATTTATTTGAGTTATTTGTACTAAGTGAATTGGCTTTGAGATAGTAAAAATATTATAGACATACATAGCAGGAATTATTATTAAGATCTTGACCCTTAGGACTTTATATAGCCTTTTTTCTGCATAGAAGTCAAAGAAATTGATAGAAATGTGTACTGACCGGCTCATATGCTATGATTGATTGAGTTAGAAAGCAGCCTTGAATGAGTGTTCATGTCATGAGTCTGACTTGATTTTCTTTCATTTAATAGGAAAAAGCTCCTCCATTTCTGAAGAGAAAGGTGACTCTGATGATGAAAAACCAAGGAAAGGAGAAAGACGATCATCCAGGGTCAGACAGGTAACTCAAATACCTCCTAAAGCATCCATCACCTCTTTGGGTAATACTTTGGATATCTCCTCCTTCTCAAACTATTTCAGAATTGGTGTCTCTCTAGATTTCCATACACTCATCTTCTTTCTCGTCTTTATCATCTTTTTCTTCTTAATTTTTTTTTAAATTTAGATGTGCTCTGGCCTTCAGATTTCTAAGTGAATATGTAAAAAGTAAAACTTAATTGTGAAAGTTAGTAGGTTGGTCTATATTCCTAAAGCACATTATTATAAAATATATAATTAATTATTTAGTTAAAACCTTAAAGCTATATGATATGATGTTAAGTGAGCAGAATATAAAAGTATATGTTTAGTGTAATTACGACTATGGAAAAGAAATAATGGGGGAGCCCGGCCGGGCGTGACTCAGCGGTTGAGCGTCGACCTGGGATC